GTGATGTACTGTCTCAGCTTCTCATTGTCCTTTTAATGTGTCAGGGAAGCTGAGAGCTAGGAGGGATCCTCTAAACTTCTATTACTGCGCAGCCTTCATTGAAGTGTTAATAAGAAGCATCTTAATCTGCAAGTAAAAACCTTAAACCCCAGATTGGGAGGGATTAGATGCAGCAGTTACCAGCTTGTTCACAGCAGAGGGACTTGCTGTGGTTTAACGTGGTCTGAAGGGATGTGGAGTTCTACTCTAGTAGAGTCTTAGTGTAACCTGCAGATGTAGGTAGCTAACGGGGGGGGGGGGCATTTAAAAGATAAAAATACATGTCCTCTGATGCATTTTTCAGGTTTGTAAATGAGAAGGTTAGCAAACTCTGTTATGAATCAGAAGTTTGTTGCTTTGGCCCTTCTTAATAGCATTTCAGGCAGATTGTCCTGGTGAATGCCAGTTTAAACATGAATTTAAAATAAGCATTCTCTCCGGGATATATTTAAGCTTGTCGGCTGAGTGCTGCGCAAGTTCGAGCAAGCAGCTGAGTACTCCTTTTAAAGTACTGTGGCTATCCCACGTTCACCTTTCGTTGCCTTTCATGCATTGCAGTTTCCTAAAGCTAAGCGAGGACACAGGCAGTCCACCCACACCCAGTCCTCATCTAATTCGCTCACCAACAGGGCAGGGATCCCCTCTCGAGGGAATCCGCCCGCCCCCTGACTCCTCTCTCTAATCTCCCTGCGATGTGTGCAGAAACATGTCACCCTGTCTCACCCTGTTTGCTCACGCCCACGCCCTCTCTCTGGAACAATCCCAGTAATCTCCCCACAAGTCACCCCCCCCTGACTCCGGGCTACAGGCCCGCTGCTATTTACGAGTGTTTAAGCCCGTTGCTGCGACAGTATTGGTGCTGATGCATGCAGCAGGTCTGCAGGTCAGCAGAGCGTCCTGCCCAGGAGAGCTGGCACAGCCCAGCTCTCTGACCCATCTCCTCTGCCATGCCAGCCGAGCTCCAGCAGAGCCGGTACCACTGGAGCGTGCCAGTCCCAGCTGCTCTAGGAGTGTTTTTCCCCCATGCTGGGTACCTCTCCTGCCTTATACTCCGAATCAACTTCCTGCATGGCCTGCTCATTGGAACCAAGGGACCTGGAAGCAGGATTGGAGGGAGAAAGTCAGCGAGACCTGGGTGCGGAGTTTACACTGAATTCAGGAGCACTGTGTTAAATTGAATGGAAGGCCATGTTCTCAGGGGAGCAGAACTTTAAAAAGCACGATTAAAGCGCTTTGTGACAATGCCCAACTTAAGCTTCCTGGCTGCAGATCCGGATCTGGGGGTGGAGAGGGGTGTGGAGTCTATTACAGTCTTTTTTTTTTTTTCCCCCACTGTGTGGGTGTGAGTTAAACAGGGTGAGGTGCAAAAGTATCCAGAGAGAGTTAGTGCTCACACGCAGGGAGAGGTGGGGAGGGTCAGTATCATCATGGAAGGACTCGCTGTCACTTCAAATACTTCAGACCTTGTGAAATTAGCTGAGACAAACTCAGAGGAGGCCGATCAGATTATCCTGATCTGCAGCTTCTAGTAAACAAAACCTTAAACTCCCACAGTCACAATGAAGCAGGCGGAAAAGCACACAAACGCACATTGCTGTAAGCCGGGAAACTCTTACGCTCTGTTAGGGTTTGTAAAAATGATCTACATCATCACATCGCTTTCAGTAACCTCTTGTCCAGTTCAGAGTCATGGTGGCCTGGAGCCTGTCCAGGGATGCACCGGGCGCGGGGCAGGATACACCCTGGACAGGACAGGCGCACCCAGACAGAAACACTCGCTCGCACCAGGGCCCGCTCACCCAGGAGTCGGTGAACCTGAAGGAAGCCCACATGAACACGAGGAAAAAGTGCAAACGGCACTCCAAGAATTGAAATCAGCTAATCCTTGCACTGCCGTGCTCCCCTGTTAATGATCTAGATTTGCCAAATAGATTTGGCTTTAGCTAGCAAACATGTCAAGTTCTCAAATGATATTATATTATATTCTAAATTTCACATCAATGCCATTTATCTTAAGGTCGTTTACATGAGACATTCACTTTGTCCTGTTACCTAGAAATCACCCCAGAGCCTGGTTAGAAATGGTATGATAATGCAGGTAAATAATCAGACAAACCGTGACTGAGAGCTTAGTTGCAACAAAACTCAGAAGATGCCAGGCCCCCCAAGAACTTGGTGATTTCTAGGCGCTTTTTAACCCAGTCCTGGTTTGTTAAAGCCCTGGGTGAAAATGAGCTAACTTAAAGGCATAACCCTCAGCTGCTTCACCGTGAGTGAAAAGGTTGTTATTTTGATATTGTTTTTGGCACCATGTGACACGATATAAACACAGTCTGGCCCAGGGGAGGGATTGTATCACATAGGGATATTAGCGTTGGAAGAACATGCTAACAAAAAAAGGCTTGAATGCAAAAGGTGGCATCAGAATGGATGCAGAAGTGCGCAACACTTAAAAGAACAATTTCTGAATCGGTGCCGAGTATGATAAGGCGAGACCTGAGGACACGCAGAAGCAAATTCTATGCAGCCCTAAGGCATCTTCGGCATAACTCGGATATCTCCATACACCCCAGTGCTGGTTCTGCTCGTACACTCAGAAGTGAAGGTACAGCAGTGTAATTAACGCTACAGTAATGTGTATTATGGAGGTTCATTTTCATTGTATTTGCAAAGTGTAGGAGCTACAGTACCTCTCTCCCTCTTTGGCACATACTCACGTTTTAAGACCCAGCCCTCTGCCCCTCATCCACACACTCCCACTTGGAAGGAGGCGAAGTGACAAGCTTGCCCATGCAAGTGACAGGTGTCACACTCCCATTCCACGGCACTTTGAGCCAGTTCAGGATTTCAGGGATGCTGGATATAAAAAGCGTGTGACTGTTTTAAGCGTGCAGACGTGAGTTGTGTTCTAATCTAGAAGTGCATATATCATTTCTGATGGAAAATGCATGTACATCTATGCATTTATACATCATCACTATTGGAATGAGGGCCTCCAGCTTATGAATCCTGATTGAGGTCCGACTGCTGTGCGACTGGACTCCTGTTTCCATGTCTGTGTGCTGATGCCCACACACATGTACGCTTACCTCTCTCCTTCCCTGTCTGTGGCTTCCTGCGGACTAGGGGCGCAGGTAACTTACGACAGAGCTGCTGTCTGGAGGAGTGTGTCGCCGTTGTGCAGACGCAGCACAGAGAGTGTCAGACGTCTTTACCCGTCTGGGTCCGCCTGGGGGACACGCATGCCCTGAACCTCAGCCAAGGGCGAGACAGAGTGACCGCTGTGCCAGACAGGCCGATACAGAGGATAATGCCTCTGCGTCCTCCAGCCTGTCTGGCCACGGAGTTTCTAATCCTCTCACAGCTCCTTGTAACGGGGGCTGGCTGACAAGGCTCTGTTCTGCTGTCCTGTGTTCTTGGGAGCATGGTTAGTTGGGAAATGATCAGCTATAGAAGGTACTCATTTCGCCGCGGACTTCAATAAAGGAATGAATGAACCGGAGTTACAGCAGGGCATTATGTAGGGGGGTATTGTACTGTACACTGTACTCACAGGCGTGAGGGTGCAGCAGTGTAATTAACGTTACAATAGTGTGGATTATGGAGGTTCATTTTCATTGTATTTGAGTATGGGAGGCAGCACACAAAATATAAAAAATTAACTGGATTGAAGTAGCTGCAGCGTTACAGTAAGGCAGAAGAAAGAATTTGGGATCGACAGGAACCCTCCTAGAGAGCCCAAGTCCTGTTAGTCTTACAGCTAGCCAGGTCCTGTAGATTGGCAACACGTGTTAATTATTGCTAAATCAAGGGAATATTGTGTTTAAATAGTGGAATCCCTAATCCCATGATGTCTCTAAATTATTCAATTCAACAGACCACCTGCTTAATTGATCACAATTTGTAAACTTTTCCAGGTCTTTAGAGATTGGTGATTTGATGGCCACCCACAATGGGTCTGCCTTTCACTAAACTAAATGCCATATTAAAACAGTTGAACATGATAATAACATTAAAAACAAATTCTTGACCCGAACTGCTATTGGTTCCCGGAGAAGAGTGAAGTATTTTGTTTTACATAATCAAATGCGTAAAAAATGAGGTGTCTCTTGACCTCACAGGACTAAGGTTGACAGCCCCAGGCTGAAAGGTCAGACAAGGCTAAGACCCAGACACATTAGGTTTGCCTTGTCAGAGAACCGCAGACCTGCTCTTGTCCAGTGCCGGTGTTTCAGACGATGGGAATCTCTTTCTTTCAGGATCCAGTCAAGTCTATGAGTGAACAAAGGCCTGATTTGCGCCAAGGAGATCAGATCGCTGCAGCAACAGGTAGGGATGCGTGTCAGACACATTTTATTCAGCAGCTCATTGTCAGTTCTCTCATCTGTTCTCTTATTTTAATCAGGTAAATCAGGTGTATGTAAAGCGTTTTACATACAAAACGAAGAGTTCTTCCTCCATGCAGAAAGGAAGCTTGCTGGCAGGTTTCAAGATAGTGAAGATTGGAATTGGGGAAAAATATTTCCTGTATAGAGCTGAGAGGGAGGGAGGAGGCAGTGAGGACTGGAGGTCGGAGCTGAGAGGGA